TCTCTCTCTCTCTCTCTCTCTCTCTCTCTCTCTCTCTCTCTCTCTCTCTCTCTCTCTCTCTCTCTTTCTCTCTCTCTCTTCTCTCTCTCTCTCTCACAGACACACACACACACACACACACACACACACACACACACAATCATAGGTATGTATTTCTGGTTGTCCAAGTGAGCACCACTAAGAAATGCATAATAGTCCATGTCTGTTTGTTTGAAGTAGTGCAACACTATTAGAGGGGCCGTTCTGTTCAGAATGTTTGTGGATGCATGTTCCATGGGTGATGATAGATGCCCTTCAGAGTGGTTTCCTGGCCCCGAGGGCTGTGGGAACCAACAGTCTGCAGAGTTATGCTCGTGGTGTGAATAGGATATGTACTGCTTTGGTTCGTGTTGGATGTGTGGACTGCCTTGTCTTCACTCCTCCACTGCCTTTGCTGTCCATCTGCTCTCCTTGCCTTTTCCTGCAGTTTGTGGCTGCCTTGTCAGCGCGTTACCTGGTGCCTCCCTATGTCATGCCTTTGCTCTGCCCATCCACTTGCATTGTCTTTTTCCATGCAGCTTGCCTCCCTTGCAGCCCATCTTCTCGCCTTGCCTTCCCATGCAGTTTGCCTATTTAAGGTGAAGTTTGGCTGCCTTGTCAGCATTACCTGATGCCTCGCTGTGTCATTTCCTTGGTGGCCATGATCCACGTACGTTAACTTTGCATGCAGCTTGCATGTCCGCCATGCAGTTTGACTTCGTCGTCAGCAGCGTTGCCTGCTGCCTTGCTGCGTCGTTGCCTTGCTTTTCCACGCAGCTTGCCTCCCTTGCAGCCCATCTGCTCTCCTTGCCTTCCCATGCAATTTGCCTATTTAAGGTGTAGTTCGGCTGCCTTGTCAGCATTACCTGATGCCTCGCTGTGTCATTTCCTTGGTGGCCATGATCCACTTACGTTAACTTTGCATGCAGCTTGCATGTTCGCCATGCAGTTTGACTTCGTCGTCAGCAGCGTTGCGCGCTGCCTTGCTGCGTCGTCGCCTTGCTTTTCCATGCAGCTTGCCGTGTGCCATGCAGCTTGGGAGCTGACTCGTTCGCGGTGCCTGGTGCCACAGTGTGTCGTTGCTTTGCTGCCTTGTTCCTTTGTGGTGTCATCTGCTTCCCATCCACTTTCAACAGGCGTTGAAAGAGTTCATGACCCCAAGGATCGATAAGCGGATTCTGCAGAATATCTAGCATGCAGCCTAAAATGATGAGTACGTGCAACTCTGATGAAACAGTTTGTGACTGTCTTTTCGGGGTTTTGTTTTTCATACCCTGTTTTTTTTTTTTTTTTCCCTTCCAGTTCTGTGCATATACTTCTGTTTCAGTTCTGTACATTTACTTTTCTTGTCCTTCGTTCTTCCGTGCTCCGTGGCCTTTGCATGATATTGTCTTGCGTTCACCCATGGGCATAGCGGACTGCGCGCTCGTTTTCCATGGTTCTTTTAAAACATGCAGTCCAACGGAACATGCGGCAGCAGGACCGCGGAAGATTATCCCCCCGAACACACACACACACACACACACACACACACACACAAACCCACAAGCACGCACCCATAAACACCCACACCCACACACCCACACACCCACACACACCCACAAACACACCCGCACACACCCACGCACCCACGCACCCAATCTTTGCTTATTCGTTTCTTTCTTTCTTTCCTTCTCTCTCTCTCTCTCTCTCTCTCTCTCTCTCTCTCTCTCTCTCTCTCTCTCTCTC